CTTTATCATCCTGAGATTTGTGGTTGCATTGTGCAATTGGTTTTCCTGCTTAGCTTAGTTTTATGGTCATGTTGCTCTGTTTCTACCGTCACCCGCTTCATGAGCAAGCTAAGTATTTTGTTTATTATCGCTTATTTGCGTTTCACTTTGCACCGCTTCCATTTAATTTAATTTCTGTCTTGCTTTCCGTTTCCAGGGAAGAAGGTCTACTGCTGCTGTGTCTTTGGCATCATTTCGTGCGCCGTTTCTTGGTCTCACCATCCGCTGTTTGGTCTCATCGTCCTGTCTTTGCCACTACTCCGGATACTTTGCGATGTCTTGGTGTCGTTTCCTGTCTTTCTTGCGTCTTTCTTTTGCCGCGTGTTCTCCCTGTGGGGCTGGTAAGCTGTGAACTGGGCTTAAATTTCGAAAATTTCAAGATTTAAAAATTCAAATTTATAAATTTAATAAATAATAAAATTTATATTCCCTAAGGATTATGCTTAATCTCATTTCTTATTTTCAGATGTCTACAACTACTCAGCCTTCTTGCTAATGCTGCTCGCCTGTTAAGCTCCGTACTGTCTTCTGCCTACGTTGTCATCACCCGTTCGCGCCTCCGTTTCCCTCCGCATGGCTTTGCTGCGCCGCTCGTTCTTCTTTACCTAATCTTTACCTAGCCTTTGCTATTACTATCGTGCGATATCTGCCCCATGCACCCCTATTTCATGCCAATTTATGCCCGCATGCACCTCGTGCCTATTATTTCTGTTAACTCCAAGGTCCGCTGTTTGTATTATGGCTGAGTCTTATATTCCAAACTTTGTTAAGTTGTTAAAGCTTATTTAATTAAATTGGTTTAAGTCATCGCGTCGTGTTAGTCGGTGACTTTTATCGTTGTAAGTGCTTGTTTAATAATTAATTAGCTTAATTTATCTCGCCCCTTTATTATGTTGCGTTGTTATTGGGACCAAGAAATGCCGAAAGTACTACTTCATTGCTACTATTGTTATCGCTGATTTGTTTCTGTTAGCTTGTTATTTGCCTGTTTTGAATTGTGAATTGCGTATTGCGCCTTGTTATTCCTATCTGTTAGTTCTGATTTGCAGTTTTATAATAACTCTGCGTTTAAGCTAGTTGCTTGTTGTCTTAATTATTAGTTTAATTAGTTTAATTAGATTAGGTTAATTGGATTACATAGTTCGATTTTAATTCGGTTTTGTCTGCTTAGTTTGGGTTGGCTAGTTTGCCATAGTACCGCTTTTTCCTGTAAGGTTATCTACGCGTGTTACTCTATGCCACGTACTTCGCTTATACCGAGAATTTGCTTATGCCGGGAGCTTGTTGCTCCCTGTCGCCAATTAAGCTGCGAATAATCCTGTGAAATAATACTGAAGTAATGAAATAATGAAATAATGAATAAATAATGAGTAGTGGATGATTTGTAATTTATAGCTTAGTGCCCTAGTCGGTACTTATAGTTTAGTAGTTTAATATTTTAATATTTAATGCCCTAGTCAAATTTTGTTGACTTTGTTTTAGCTTGTCTTGTGTTAGTTGACTTATTCCGCCCTGAGGTTTGATTAATTTATTTATATATATTAATATTTATATATATTTATTTATTTAACTTCAGATTTGAGTTTTTAGTCATTAATGTTCTGGTTTCCTTGCCTGACTTATGCTGGTTCTTACTGATTACTGCTGATACTTTGTGATGTTTGAATTTAAATTTCTGTGCTTGCATTACACCACATCTAGTGCGTATGTCTGGTAGTAGATTTAATATTAATATTATATTTCTAGGTTGCCTTGTATTATGTTGTATCATGTGTAATGTATAATGTATAATGTATAATGTATAATGTATAATGTGTAGTGTCAGATGATTTACTTAAAGTGCCTGGTTTAATTAATTTATTAATTGGTTACCTTTGGGTTGTGTCGTGTTCCTGTCTAATCCCACATTTCAATTACTTATTTCTAAGTTGATTTTAATTAATGTAACGCGATGCGATTTCGGGTTTAGTGCTAGGTTTGTGTTAATTAATATCTATATTCGTGCTAGTCTGCTGATTCAAATTTCTATTTCTAATTTCAAATTAAATTAAATTTCCAATTTATGCCCTCGTTAGACTCCTTGGGTTTGAAGCCTGCCTCTCGAATTTAAGTTAAAATTTACCTTTAAGTTTACTAAGTTTAGGAGTTAAGGAGTTGATTTTAATCTACATTTTAGCATTATCATTGACAGTTTAAATCCGAACTAGTTCGCGTCCAAGTTTATGTCTAGATCTGAGTTCCTATTTCTGCGTAACTTGTTATCTGTCGCGTGTTGTGCTGCGCCTGTTTAGCATGTCGATGAGGTAGCTAAGTTGCGTGATGTCAGTGTGATTAGTAGAGTGCTGAGCATGAGGTAGTGAAGAGTCTGAGATGAAAGGTAAGACGGATAAGGTAGTGTGTCCATTTTACTATTTGTTGCTGTTAAAGTCCTCTGTCTATTAAGTTAATACAATAATATCGCCTAGCTTACTCACTACTTGCCTAATTTACTGAATACTTATATACCTGTACAATGTTTCTTATTTCTAATTTGCTAGTTAATTTATATTTTATTTTCCTGTACAATGTTTCTTATCTCTTAACCTACTGTCTACTTATTTATTTACATTAACCTTATGCATAACTTGTTTAATTGCTCCTTCTACTAGTTAGTTTGCTTATTTATCACTTATCCTAATTTAGCTACTTAATTTAATTTATTTACTACTTGGTTTAAGTTTGGTTCGTTTTGCTTTAATTTAATTTGTTTGTTTGTTTAATTTCTTTTCCTCGTTCGCCGGTCCGCCCGCAACCCTTGATTTCTTCGCATCCTCACCAAGGATCCTTACTAGTTCCGGGCTTGGGTTTCCTCTTCTCACCGCTCTCGCGCGCTTCATTCCCTTTTGCCCTGTCCTTTCCTTTCGCGTTTCCTTCTTGCTTCCTTCTTGGGAAGTAAGGTCTGAGCTCCTGCCACTTGGTCCTTAATCCTTTCTCCTGTGTGAGTCGTTTTGCTGCCGCTCTTGTGCATTCAAGAAAGGCGGTGCGATGACATGTTCCTTCTCTGCCTCCTATATGTTTGAAGCAGATTTCTTCTTTCTCCACCAGGTCTTCCAGTCCGCCTTTCTTGAATGCCTCCATGAGCTCCTCTTTTTCTAGGTCAGGGTCCGAGACCTTAACAGCCACCTCAACCCTGTCAGTGTGCATTCGTGCTATCCACTTACCACCGCCTTCCTTATTAATCGCTTCAGCGCATTTCTTGCTGATGCTTGTGCTGCCTTCCTTGCCTCTCTGTAAAATAATAATTATATCTCCTTTCCTTGTTTCTCTTATTTCCTTGAGCCCTTCCGTGTAGTTGTGTATTTTCGTTTTGAGCCACCTGATGGCATTCCAGTAGTCCACCTCCTTTCTCGGGTATTGCACCAGGATGACTACATCGCTCTTGTAGCCTTCACCCCTTTTGTCCCTGTTCATTCCTTCCATCTTTGGTGGCTCGCCGCTTCCTGTCTTCTCCCTACTTTCTTTGACGCCTGTCCTCACCCCGTCTTGGTTAACTCCGCTTTCGCCTCCGTTTTTCTTTTCGTCCCCTTTTCCGCTGCTCTTCTGCTCCTTGCGCTTCTCCTCCATCCTTCTTTTCTCTTCTCTTACCTTCTTTACAATTTTCCAGATTTCGTGCTCTTCTCTTTCTTCCTCATCTCGTCCGTTCCCTGTTTCCTCTCCTTCTTTCTTCCCCTCCCTTGGACTTAGTCGTTCTTCGCTCTTCCTGTTCCCATTCTTTCCTCCGTTTCTTCCTTCCTCGCCTGCCAGTCGGGCCAGCTTAACTATTGGTTGCAGCTTCTTCAAATCTTCTCCTTTAGTCCCGACTATTTTGTCCTCCAAGACCAGCGGCAGTTTCCTTTTAGCCTTGCCTTGCCCGCCTTTTCCCCTTTTCGTTTCTTCGCACTCGTTCGTTCGCGGCGTTGAGCTTCCTATGGGTTCTGTCCAGTCTTGGCTAAATTCTTCCTCCCATTCCATGTCTTCTAACTCGCACATGGAGGCTTCCGCTGCCTCAGCCGCCTCCATTAGAACAATCTCTTCTTCTTCCTCCTCCCGTTTATCTTCAAGTCCTCTTCCCTTCTTTGGCTCTCCAGTTGCAACCTCTCCTCGCTCCGCTTCCCTTTTCCTGCTGTGTCCTTTACTGTTGCTTGCCTTGCTGCTTCCACTTTTCCTCGTCTCCTCCTCTGCCCGTTTCTCCCTGCTTGTCTTCTCCTCTATATTGCGGGCCGCCTCCCTCAGCAGCTTATTTATGTCCTCCGACGTGATCTTACTACCCTTGTACCCCTTGATGCTCTCCATCCTGTTTGGATTTAAGATTTAAGATTGAAAATTGAAAATTTAGGATTGGAGATTTAAGATTTAAGATTTAAGATTTAAGATTAAAGGTTAAGATTTGTGATTTAATTATAATTTAGATTTGTGATTATAAATTTAAATTTAAATCAGATTATGAAATTTAGGATTAAACTTTGAATTAATTTAACTTGAAGTTTTATGTTGAGACTTGTTAACTTTGAAGTTTAAGTTGAGACTTGATACTTGACGATTGGGGTTGAATTTGCATTGGAATTTAGTACTGTGAATAAGTTGAAAGTTGGCGGTTGAAGATTGAGAGTTGAAATTTAATTAGACTTGTGGAATTTTAATTTAACTGTTAAATTGGGGAATCTAGTTGAGGAGTTAAATTCTAAATTGTAATTGAAAATTTAGATTTGAAAATTAGCGGTTAAATTCGAATTAAGTTCGAGTTTAGAGTTGGGATTTGAATATTCAATCTTAGCCTGTAGACTTGATGTGACTTAATTTAATCTTGATTTAGTTCGTCATTTGTTCGAGTGTGAATTGTGTTTATCAACTAATGGTTTATAGATTCCTCAGCCTGATTTGTTTGAATTTCATGCCTGAGTTTAGTTTCTTACGTTAATCAACTATCAGTTTACTTTGTTCTGGGTTAGCTTTATTAAGTTTAATTCAACTCATTGTAACTTGTATTAAGAATAGTTTGATTGATTTATTAATCTAATTCCTTGCTTGCGGGTGTATACTTATACTTATATTGTCTTGATTTACGTTCTGTATGTGTGGTTGCGTTTCTGACTAGATTTCCCTTTAGATTGTGTTGTGTTAAAGTAATTGACTAAATTAAGTTCCATCAAGCTTTGCTTACTTAGTTTAGGAATTTAACCGTTATATTTCCTGGATGCCTATTATAATCTTAGCCTACTGTGTCCTGTTCTAATGCTGTTGATTGTTAAGTTAAGTTAAGTTAAGTTGTGTGATGTGCTATCTCGTGCTCGATCGTGCTAATTACTTTGTCCCTTTTACCTGGCTATATGATATTTATCCAGTCAATTTCTTAATTAGGAGCCATTTCATTTAGATTATGTTGTGTTATGTTGAGTTACTTTAAGTTAGTTGATCTATCCTATTTAGCTTTCATCTTTAGATTATATTATGTTGAGTTTAATTAAGTTAATTAATCTATCCTGTTTGTCTTTATCTAGTTCTAAACCCTATATACCGCTGTTGTCTTTACATTTACTTACCTTGCCTCGTTTCCTTTACTTATCACTCCACTTAGTCCCAAAATTTTACACACTCCTTATATCTGTTGCTCACTACTATCACTATTTACTGCTGCTTCTACTACTATTCTCTCCCTTGCTTGCTCCTTGACTGATTTCGTCCTGTCGCTTGGTCTCCTTGTTACCTACCCTTGCGATTTCCCACTCTTGCCTCGTGCGATTTCCCTCTCTTGCCTCTTAATCTTCTTCCTTCGTCTCTCCCACTTTCTTTCCCGTCTCCTCTTTCTTTCCTTCCTGCTTGCCCTTCTTCTACCTTCTTCCTTGCCGTCTCCCTGCTTGTTGCGTCCTTTCATCCCTCGCCTGTTCCGTTTTGCTTCTCGTATTTGATTTGATTCGATTTGATTCGATTTGATTTGTTTGATTCTACTTTAGATTTGGCTTTGTTTGTTGCATGAGATTCGATTACGTTTTCGTTTGATTTTCCTCTATCTACTTGTCACCTGCCCACTTATTTAATTCTTCCGCTGCGTGCAAGTTCTTATTTAGGTCCATTTGCTTCGCTTTATTTGTTGTCTCTTTATTATTATTATTACTATTTCCGCGTTCCGCGTCTTGTATGCTGCGCGCGTGCGTTTCACCGATTAGGTTGGTTTATAATAACTAACTTCCTTTTAGAATCATGTTAAATTAAACTAAATCAAGTTTAAACTTATATCTAAATTTAAGTTTAAACTTAAGTTTAACTTTAACTTTAATCTATCTAAGTAGTTATGGCTATGGTTATATTGTCTAAGTAGGTATAATTTGGTTTATTTATAGTTTAGCTTTGTGTTGATGCACTTATCTATTATATGTTTATATTAATGAAGATATATAGATAGGTGAGTGACCAGTTTAGTGTAATTTAATTAAATTAAATGATATACTGATTTAATGACTGGTGATTTGATGGGTGGCCCCGTGTGATTTCAAGTGTGTGAGTGAGTGAGCGACTTCCGTGCCGTTACATAGTCATGTACATATATATATGCGCTCACATTATGCCATTTGCCTACCGTTGCCCTGTATGGTACTATAATCCTATATTGCGTTATGCTATGCAGTGTAGGGCCGTATTATATATTTATTTATATGATGTAGTGTCTATTATGTATATATGTGCGTGTGTGTCTATATTTATTTGTTTGTATGATGTAGTGTCTATTATGTATATATGTGCGTGTTGGATGTTCGTGTTTAATATCGTCATTTATGCTTGTCACTTGTCATTTCATTTGTCATTTGTCGCGTCAGCTAGCTTAGATTTCGTCTGTGCCTTCGTATGAGTCATGTAATTTAAGTGTACTTGCACGAGCTAATGGTGTTTAAATGTCTACAGGTTGAAATTAGGAATTTAATCCTGTATGCTGGGGCCTATAATTTATGTTATTTACAAGTTGAAATTTGAAACTAATATTGCAATTGCAGGATTGGTAGGTTGTGGTTTGTGGTTTGTGGTTTGTATTGTGTTGAGTTGGGTTGGGTTTGATTTGATTAGCATTGAATTTGTTTGAACTTGAAACTTGTGTTATTTATTTCTTTAATTTCTTTGATTGAATTGAATTGAGTTATATCTTATGTTGAATTTGAATTTGAATTAAATCTTATGCCGTTTGTGTGTTGAGTGTTCAATGTTGTATATTGTAGTTGTGAAATTGTTTGTGTTGGATTTGGGCTTCCCATTTGGGTTTGTTTGACTGAGTGTATGCTGTATGCTGCTTGCTTTATTGATGGCGTCTATTATTTCTTCCCCTGTTCTCCTTTTCCCCTGCCCGTTTTCCGCCGCTGTAAATTGGTGTTGGCTTTGGGCTTCCCATTTGGGTTTGTTTAATTGAGTGTATGCTGCATGCTGCTTGCTTTATTGTTGGCGTCTATTATTTCTTTCCCTGTTCTCCTTTTCCCCTACCCGTTTTCCGCCGCTGTAAATTTCTGCAAGTTCCGAATTCCAAGTTCCAGCTTAATTCTACCTCGTGAGTTCCCCTCTGTTCCTGACTCCTGCCTGCCCCCTCTGTTCTTGCCTCCTGCCTAGAGTTCCCCTCTGTGTGTTCTTGACTCCTGCCTGCGGTACGTTGTTTCCAGCTTCATCTCCTCTGCTTTGTTTATCCGTCATCCCATGGGGTGTTTCATTTGTGCGCGTGCGCCCGCCTGCTGGATTTCGGGAGCTCGCGTCTTACATACCTTCCAATCGCTCGCTCTCCGTCCTCTAATCCTCTTCCTATTGGTTGGATTTTGTTCGGTGCCATGTTCGCTCCTTCCTACTTCCCTTGCTTACCTCTGTTTCTCTCTGCAATGGCGTCCTGCTCGCCCCGCCTCCTAGGTTTCCTGTGTACGTTCCTGTTCCTTGGTTCAGCTCTGTCCGCATTCTTCCTTTCCTCCTTTCTCTACCTGCCTTGGCCGCCTATAGTATCTGTCGCCCGGTCCTTCTGCTCGCTATTGTATTCCGTTTCTTTCTCTATTGTATTCTGTTTTCTTTCTTTTAGTAGGTCGCCTAACAGTTACCCATGTTTTAGGTCTGTCCTGTTTGATGTTTACTGTTTTATTGGCTACTAAAGCACGGTTCATCATCTGCGCGCCTGCCGTTCCTTGCTCGTTTATTCCTTATTGTTTCTAGCTTGTACCTTCTTGCCTGATGGTCACCTGCCTGCCACATGTTGCATTTGTCTTCCTGAGCTGTCGTATTTCGTTTGAGCGTTAATGCGTTTATAATGCATTTGCACGTCGCGCGTTTTAGGACTTATATATTTATACGTTTATGTTTATACGTTTATATGTTTTTATGCCTTCGCCTGCTTTCTTTACCTAGTCCCTTCGTGCCTCACTTTCCTGTCGCATTTTACCGTTTGCATTCCTTCCTTTTCTTACGATTTTCGCCGTTGTATTTTGTCGTTTATCCTTCAGCTCCTTAGCACCCATCTGCTGCAGTCCCAGTTTTGTCGACTGCAGATAACACTTCATCTCGGCGATTTCCGCAATCTGTCACCATAAAGGCCGCTAATCCTCGCAGAATTTTCAGTCTTAGCAGGTCGTGAGCTCTTGCGGTCCGCGAGATCGCGAGAAGCCG